TTAGTGATGGGACATTGCACCATTAACACTAGCTTTGCATAATACAGAGTTAGGGAGTGTATGTGCTAGACCACACTCAGTCCTGCACAGTGTAATCTGCTGTGCAGGGCAATGCTAATACAGTTTACGTAACCCAGACTTAGTAGTTAATGTTGCTTCTAGTATTAAGGTATACTAGGTAGCAACTCAGATGCAGACATGTAAGACTGGACACTTGAAATTTCAAGGCTGACATCAAAACTTAATAACTAAGCTGCCAGGATTCACACACTTCCTCTTGCTTTTCTGATGTTTTATGAACATCGTTTCTCTCCTTTCTAGTAGGAGGTAGTGTGTGTCCGTGTCCCGCCCCCCCCCCCCAAAAAAAAAAAACAACAACTTACAGCACACCTGCAGAACATGGAGATAGTCCACCACTGGTCTAACAGATGCAGGTCTAAGACTAGCTACCTTTTAACTCAAGTCCTCATAAGAACACAATTGTTTCAATAAGCAACCGTTAAGTGTTATTATGCTCAAAACTTCTGTCATTGTTAAAAGGTTTCATTCTAGTCTCCCTTTGAACTAAATTGGACTCTAGTATTACCACTCCATTTAAATCAACTAACTAGTAACAAAAATTTGGCAAGAATGGTAATGATGAAAAAAGCTATAGAGCAACATAGTAAAGTAGTTAATAAAAAATAGAAATTACAGAAATACAGGACAATGAGCTTTAATAATTGTCACAAGACAACAAGCAGGAACAGTATGCTTATCAAGGAAAGATATACAGAAACCAATCCAAGAAGTACCTTTCTATCAAAGGTTGACCCTGCAGAGAAATGGAAAATAACTTTGAAGTACTTCAGATCATATCACATTCTCGCTGCACCACCACCCCCTGAAGTGGCCATAGGGAATTCTGTGAATTGTTTCCCCAGATGCCTTGCACACCAGCTGGTTAGGATTAAACATCTTGCCTGCGGCATCTTTTAGGCCTTGAGGCCTGGCATTTTTGACAATGTGATGAACAGTGTACAATTGTGTATATCCCATATGTTTAAGATAATCTAGAGTGCCAGAAACACTGTTAAATCCATGTACAGTAGTGATAAGGGTTAAAAGAAAGCTATGACAGCTATTCCTCAAGTTTGAAAGTTACAGCTCTAGAATTCCTTTCTTTACAGGAATATACTCAAAAAATATTCAAGACTTAAATGTTGAGATTTTTCTATGCCTCTGATTTTCTGTTATTTTAATACATTCAGTAGATACAAATCACAGGCCTACTTGCAGTACACTGAGTGCTGGCAAGCACTTCACACCACATAACAAAGATGACCAGAACTTTGCAATTACAGTGTTTGTACAATGGATGCAGTACCATTGCACTCACTGAACACTGCTCTCACTCTGAATGACAACATGCAAGTGAAGGGGCAGTACCTCCCCTAAAGGGAAAAAACCCATACCTAAAACTTGCACTAAAACACATCATAAAATGATTTTTCATGGTAGAATTCTGTCTAGATTTCAAAAAGTGTGTGTAGATTAAGCCAATAGTTTATTCTGAATTAGTGTTTTTCCAGAACCTGGCTTTAAGTGCCCTGTCCAGATGAACAAATTCCTGCTTGAAGCACCTCCAGTTTTTGTTCATCTTTAACATAAGGACCATGTAGGTGCTTTCATTATCTGAGAAAGTACTTGAGACTTTCTCATCAGTGGAAAGCTTCAACTATCTTGAAAGACAGCAAATTCTCAGACAAGACATTAGTGTTTCACCAAAAACATGGCAACTTCTGAATTTTAGATAAAAATATAACGCTCAAAATTCAATTACAAGCTAGCCTCTGAAAAAGAGGAAAGATAGAGAACAAAATAGCTGTTAGCTACAGTACTTTTAATGCTGTTTAACAGTTGCCATCAGAACACCAACTTGCTTTGCTCTTACACTACTGTTTAAGGTGTTAAAGATTAAATACCTAATTAGTTTCAAGACTGGTCTTCCAGGAATGCTTCCTATGCTGCAAAACATGCTATTGGTTTCTGTACATGTTAAAAAACCATGAAAATGTGGTTTCCTACACATTCATCCTTACTACCTAGTAAGAACCTGGGGATGACAGTTTTGTGGTATCAGGTTCATTGTTTGGTGTCCTTCCACCAAAAAGGAAGGAGCATCTTAAAGAAACAGGACAAGGTGTACAGCAACCTTACCCGTAATCAAATGTAGTGATTCAGTTCAGTGATACTGAAAAAGTATCCTGCCAAAATGAGTTTACTGCTTGTATGCTGCATTATGAGAATTCCTGTACGTGGTAAGAAAAAGTTTAATAAGAAGATGCCCAAGTTGAATTATATAGTCCTAAAAGAAATAATTCTCCAGCTCTTTATAGCTGCATAAAGCCCTTTCCTGATATCACCCTCAGGCACACAGAGTTAAGCACATTAATTTCTACCATTTTCTAGGACTGCTATTTAGGATTTAAATATGTATTACTTGACCTACAGTACAAGCTGTCTTTTTTAAAGAGCTATCTGAAACATTTCCATTTATAGAAATGAGATGAAGACCTCAGACTTAAACTCAAATGACATAGGTGAAACCATTGTGGCTCAATTCATGAACCATGATTAAGTGCATAAAACAGATGCATTGCTTTTGCTGCAGCAGGTAGTTTACGGATGTACAAGACGGAAAAGGGGTATATTTTGCTTTCTTTGAGAAAATACATTGTTGTGTCAGAACATGCAATTATGCAACTCTTGGTGGTATTTTAAGAGCTGATGCCTGCTCCAAATGTAATTTACACTTCTTAAAGATTAGGAAACTTTTGGATGAAGCTTCAGTTCAGCTGAATAAAAGCCACAAATAAATTTGTTATTGCTTGGAAACTTCCTCCTGCCCAACTCCTTGGAAAAAAAGCCACACATAAAAAAAATCCCACAACCAACAACCTAACCCTCTAGGTTCTCTCTCAGCACTATACAAACAATTCCAATTAAGTGAAAAATGTTACTCTTCATTAATCTCTTCTAGTTGTTCTTTATGGGATCTATGTAAAGTGATCAACCAAGACACATGAAGAGAAACTGCAGTACACAATCAAATACATCAAGTTAACGGTGGCTTTTAATGGAAACTCTCCCTTTTGTCTGATACAAGAATAAACTGAGCATCTGCTAACTTTCTACATTTCACTAGAACAGGAAATACAATGGTGTTAACATAAAGAAACAAATACGTAAATCAATTGTCATGCCCTGCCATCTGGATGAAGATTACACATAAGATACAAGTCCCTATTATTATAAAGCTGATCTAGACAAACTTTAGGCTGGAAGTGTGATGTCTTGAAACTAAGAAGTGGGGACTCCAAGTTGTCAAGCTAGATTTGAAAATTAGTGTTTATGCAATCAAGGCAACACTTCAGATTAAATGTTTTAGTGCAAAACAGTAATCACGTTGTTAATCCTCTGGGTCAAAAGGTAAGCATATACATTCAATGCACACCAATAAAAGACAAGAAGTAACCAATACTCTTAAACATCCTCAGCTCAGAGCTACCTCTTACCAACCTAAGAAGGTTTCCCTGGAACACCAGGAGGTTTGGCCACTGTACTGAGATAGACAAAGTATGTAGAGTGATTGGGAGGGATGACCGCTTACAACTTACCAGTTTTATGACAGGATATGAATTCATAGTCCTATAGCATAAACAGCATACCTCTTAACTCCTTTATCAAAGGCAGATCACATAAGCAATACTTAGTTTTGTCAGTCACCACATCATTTTCTATCCAGTTTTGTTTTCACAGTTTATGAAAAGAGCTAGAAATTAGATTGAACTGAACTGCAAGTTTAAAAAAAAATCTCAGGTTGGGGGCAGGGGTGTCATTCTTGCATAGAAGGCATTGTCTATTATAAATCAAGACCTCCTTAGAAAGGAAGCATTGAGTGTACCATGCAGTACCAAAACAATTACTTTGTTAATATGCAGTATCAGTGGAGCCAAATTTGAGTCTTGTACTAACAATAGTGCCTGGTATCATTAGACAAAGGAATATCTGCAGTCAAGGCAGTATGTTACAAAAGTAACACTGCAAACAAACACAGGGACTTACAGTTATCCACAATTAGATTGTATTTAACAGTGCAAGGGCTGTTATTGAAACCATGGCATCTGAAGCATCAACACCTGGTTTGTGTTACCTCTGGCAAAAGTAAGTTAAACAAGAGGTATCCAGCAACTATGATCTACTTAGTAAACTAAATAGCCTTTGTAAACTACCACCTCTGATAGAATGCTAGATTTTTCTTTTAGTATAAAGTGAGAGATGTCTTAGGACATCTTTGAAAACTACTTTTTTTTATTATAAGGCTATTTCTCACTTTTCCACCACTTCTAGTTTGTTCATGCCAGCTAAGAAATGCAAGAATACAGATACTAGCCCTAAGCTTTTTGCATAGGGAAGGCAATGCTTCAGAAAGCAAGAATCACTTGTTTTGACTTTTCTCTATGTATGCTGCACCCGCAGAAGCAAATGCAACATGTAAATTAGCTGCAACACAGATGAGTACTGCATGATGTCTGAAATTGTAGCTTAGAACCAGGGTAGATAGACCAAATCTAATCACTTGTACTGGATATGGAATTTTTAAGATGCCTTCCACTCTTAGTTTTAAAGAACAAGGGCCATATCAAAATAATAATTGCTCGACAGAAAAATTATTGGAAATAGAAAACAATTAATTTTTCATTTTGTGTCAGGCACGCGTGGTTTATAGAAAGCAACAGAGCTCCAAGGAGCCAAGACAGTCTTTTGGAAGTTTAGGCCACCTAGCCATTAGCCCTAATGATACACAAATGTTGATATTTTATGTTCACTGCCGCTGCTTCACTCGCTCTGGACACCTCTTGTGGGGAGACTAATTACTTGCATAATTGCCAATACCACAAACACATGATTCACTTACATTTAAACAAATAGGTCTAATAAGTAAGAAACAAGCTTACTACTCTGGTTCCTGAGGATCGACGTGTTGCTCTAACATTAGAAATGTTCCTTGGGCTAGCTGGAGTTGCCAATGGAAGAGTAGTAGAAAGTTGAGGAGGATTGAAAGACACCAAAGGCAATCTGGTATCTCCTAATGCGCATTGCTTGGAATTGGAATTTTTATTGGCAAATCTCTCATTTTTACCATTTCCTGAATCTCCACTACCAGTATCCGTTTTCTCCTCGTTCTTGATTCTTCTCAAGCAGTCCTTTAGTGTCAGCTGAGTTGCAGGCTGACTCAACCAGCACAAAAAGAGTTCATCCACCTTCATTTTCAGTACAGGTTGCAGAACTTTCCCAGGTGACATTTTCTACCAGTTTCCCTTTTTGTTAGATGAAATTCAAAATAAAGGTTTGACAATCATCTACTTATTCCACTTGACTTCCAGTGTTTCACAGACTCCAGGGTTCCTGTTAAGAAAAATACTATTATTTAACCTTTTAAAGGTTAATTGAACCTTATTATTTAACAGTTTTTAAAAAAGTGTTGATATTTATTCCCTCAAGATACCAACAGGTGTTGTGAGATACATGCTAACATGTGACTACAATGACATATAGTCATTTTGCAAGTAGAAGTCATTAATCAGAGTCAAATCCAGAGGATAATTTTTTTTAAAAGCATACTGTGTAAATGATGGAGACTGGAGAGAAAGAAACTGCACTCAGACTTTCTCAATGAGAGCTATCCAACAAATGTTCTCCAAGAAAATGTATTAAAATACACATTTATTATGACAAATAGCCTTTCAAAGACTTATAATTGAACCTGGTAAGAACTAAACATCCAAGCAGTTTATGCAAAGCCTTGGTGCAAAATTAAGATTTAAGCAGCAAGCTTTTCAGTCAAGAGATTTAAAGCTAAGACTGAAGGCTCAATTTTCATTCTGAATTCTGTGCTTCTGATTTAAAATCTTGAATTGCATATTGCAGTGCAAGATGCATTCCCACGTGAGTGATGCCCAACTAAATTCCCCAACATCCTTCCTCAGGATTTGATTTGCCCACCTGCTTGGTACCACACAGTCATTCGGTACTTTAAGAACTGATCTATTTGACATTCACTTTTACAGTTTTTTAAGCCCCATGTGAAACACAACGTGACTCAAGAACTGTAGTAGTATGATTTCAGGTTCGGTTGCTCACCTGAAGCAAAGAAGATACATGTAATTTTTTTAGAGGGCCAGAGGACTGGAGCTAAATACCGAGAATAGAACTCAAGTTACTACCGTCATCTCTGCAATCAAATTATTTAGTTATCTGGTACAGTTTAACTAAACCCCATCCTTCCTTCTGTTTTGTTTTTTTTTAAAGCCTTTATCAATATTTGATCCATATGGAGAAGGCAGCAAAGATACACAATACTTTGCTGAAGAAGCCTTAAAATACACACTTAAATTTGGAAAGAACACCCAACAAATGAATGTACTATTAAAATGAAAGCTCAATCTTCATCCCAGGCAGAACGAGAACCTTTATAATGCCGCACCAGTCAGGCCTTTTAAACCTTAACAACTCAACGGTTAAGTTACTCGCTGCTCAAGCTGAAGGTCACGTTATTTCACCAGCTT